AGTAGGTACTGAATTAATTTTAATTGTATCTTTCTGTTGAAATGAGCAATAAAGGAATTAGTAGTGCATCAACATTGATTTTGATTAGTTGATGACTAATAGATACAATTTGCAGATCTAAAAGGAATTTATGTGTTGAACCTCATATGTTAGGCTACAGATAACCCTTACACTGTACCCATGCTTCCCCTATTTGAAGTCTGTGTACCATGTGCAACTAAAGCCTGTCTCTGACAAGGCCATGCTCTGAAGACTCCAAGCCATGTGCAGCCATGCCAACATCCCTTGGAAGCTTGTTCCAGTATTCGTCATCTTTGGAATGCTGTTTCATTTCTCAAATGAACTTGTCGATATCAGCTTTTCTCTGTGGTTCTTGCTTTGTCTTTCATATAGTTTGATAATCCCCATTCTACTACCTTTAAAGAATGCTAAGGCATTTCTTAGCCCTTTCCCCCCTCTTTTTTCAATTTCTTTCCTTTTTTTTTTTCTTTCCTTTTTTTCTTTGTCTTTTCAATAGGCTAAGCAGATACAGATCCTTTAATTTAATTCAACAAGCTGCTTTTTCTGCCCTTTGAATTCTTTCTTTGGAACTTCTTGGAACTCTTCCAAGTTTATAAAAATCTCTTCAAACATGGATATCAGAGTGAGGACTTTAATGTCCATCTCATTAATGCTCTAAAAGTTCCTACTCACTTCTGTCCCTACTCAGCCCTTTCCTGTTACATGCATATGAGGATAGCCTTAGCCCTTTTCATTGTAGTGCTTCACTTGAAGGTTATTCTGAACTACCTGTCTGTTGTGTTGCTCAAACTGGAGCCACAGTCTTTATTATTAGACTTGAACAATACTTAGTGACCTATTATGTAAATACAATAGGCAACTAGTATTTTGTTTCACATTTAAATTTGTCACAACTGCATGGAATTCTACCAATATTCAATAAAAAACAAAATCAGTGATCCAGTAATGCTTTTATCAACTATTTTAGCATAGGGCAGGTTAATGAAGCCTCCTCACTTAGAAATATTTCCCCCAGATAGATGTTTTTTAATATTCTCTAATGTTAATAATACAATGGAAATTTCTTTATCACAGTCCTGTAATAAAAAAATAGAAAATCCTGTTTCTATTGAAATACAGAGAGAAATATTTGTTTCATTTACTGCATTGTTCTAAAGCAAAGATCCTGCATTATTCTGAGACTTTTTATAACCTTTGCACACTTTTAAAACTTCCTATTTTTCATCTGGTTATGTTATTAATTATTTTGAGGAACTCATTCTTCCGAGTTGCCAGATTATGTTAGGGGCTGCCATGAGTTTGCCCCTCATGAACATCGTCCGGTTATAGTCAGTCTACAAATAAGAACCACCTTTCTCTGCAATGGATATTTCGCCTTTTTCCTCAGGCTGACATTCCCATGTAGTGGCGCCTTTTGTATTAGAAAAATTGTCATGCAGGTTGTTTGGGAACTCTGACAACAATTACATTAGTAGTCCTAAACTGAAGTTTCCCTCAACCATACGGTTTTATTTGCAGGTGTGATACTAAATAGTTCATCCTAGGCTCTAGTTTGATTTGGGCTGATTTGGGTTACAAAGGACCTCTGCTAGTAATGTAGCACAGCTTTCTTTGTTACCTCATTCATATTTCACATTTAAAACTTGTGGTTATTGGATTTACTGATAGTTTTAAACAAAGTGACAGTGTCTTTAACAACCATTTTTTTCTTGCCTGCTTCTTCCTCATCACAGTCTTTCTTCTTGATTGGAATTAATGTTTAAAACATTCTGTTATATATTTAAATGTTCATTAACTCAAGTCTAACACAGGTTTTAATAACTGAGGATCTATAGTCTCAGAGCCATTGCAATATAGAATTTGCTTGTGATTTTAAGCGTTTTTAGTTAAATATAAATTGATAATAGACCAACACTTACCAGTAAATCTGTTTCATCTGAATAGATAAAGTAGGATTTTATCATGTTAGCAAATTCAGTTGGACTGGACTTCTTCAATTAGAGAGTTTTCTTTTCCCCTTTCCTCTGTGACTGCTGTATTCCTGAATTTTATTCTCCTCTATGGAGGGATTTATATTCAGATGAAAAGGACCTAAGAGCAAGAGGAGCAACCTGTTGTTGCTTATAAGTTTGGGAGTCTGGGATTTATTGGAATGAACCTGGGACACTTGGAATGTAATTTGAATATTACATTTGACTGAAAAGCCCTTCTTTTTGATCAGCTTGTTCAGACATATTCAGACAAATGCAAAGACCCTTTGCAAGGAGGATATACACAACTAAATTCTGTAAAGCAGTTTTTCATAGGCTAGCACATACTGAAGATAACAAGAAATTAACAAGCACTAGGCTGTGCACTTGCATCCTCACCACCCTGGTGGATGAAGCATCTGAAGAGCAGCAGGTGCCCAAGCTGGTGTCAGCTAGGAGTAAATATTATTTTGGAGAAGTTAAGACAAAAGAATCATCTATGTTTTGAGGATTTATATGGCATCAAGGAGAAAACTGGTCATCTCAGAAAAATGTGTATCAAATTTTATGCGGTAAACTGTAAATTCTGTTTGCTTCAAATTTATAGATTATTAATTACTTTTTTATTTGACTTATGTAAAGGTTTTACAGACATGATGAGTCTCTGCATTCTGTAAATCATAAGGACCATAAAAGAAAAATGATACAAAATTATTTTATCAGTAGAATCAGCATGGATTTCTTACTATTCACTGCTAAAACGAGTACAAGTATTTGTATCTCCACAAATAATTTTCCAACACCCATATCCAGTTGTATATTTTGCTTTTGAGTGGTTGAGCTATTCTCAAATCAATCTATATGTTACGAATTAAAATAAAGAAGACAGATAGAAATGCTTTGTCAGAAGCCTAGCTATAATAAATTAATGTAGACAATTGGATGACATCTGCCTGGAAGGAACATATGGGAAAGTCAATATGCTTATTTTCTATCTCTTGTATTTTTATTTGTGGTATAGCTGTTCTTGTTTCCCAATCTAACAAAGAAACTAAAGTTGAATTAAGCTTCTATTGTTGCTAGTTATAAAGTTTTAATATTTTATAGACGTGAAATGCATACATGTAAATTTGTAATTGCTGAATCAGTACTGCCATATTAAAAATGTGTCATTGTTACTGAGCATTTCAAGTCGTATAGATAGTGAGATCAAAATCCTCCAAGATCAATACACAGTCAGGGGTACAAAAATTATCCTGAACATTTAGATCACTGTATATAACAGCTCCAAGACTTTGGAGCACCCAGTAATTAAGGAATTACACTTATAGCAAACTACAAAGTTTGTGTCTCCTTTGGGTTTCAGTCAGTGCTGCCTTCCTGTTTACAGTATCTAGTTGCACTGTTGTCTCATGAGAAGTCCACAAATCAGAAAAACAAAATTGGTGATTTGCCTCTGCTTCCTACAGTTCCATGCTTTACCAGATACTATTACTGCTTGTTCCCAGCCCATGCTCCCAAATTATCTCAGTTCCTTTGTTTCCACTCCCTTGCCCTACATAGCAGGTAGAATAGGACAAAAGTCACTGGTATGTTTTATTTGCTTCTTTTAAGCCCAATAAACAGAAAGCTAAGGAATGATCTCCTCTACTGCAGTAATATTATTCAAGGTTAAAAAGTGAAATTCTGTCTGGGAGATATTTCTTAATTATTATTATTTTTTTCTATTTTCCATTTTTGTATTCTTGTCTGCATTTGTTGTCAGCTTTCCCTTCTTTCTGGCCGGATTTTCTACTCTGTTATTCAACATATTTTCTGGTTTTATGAATCTTTGCACAAATAGTTCTCAAAAATTCTGCTTCTTTATTTTTTCTTTTCTAAACATTGATTATCACTTCTAGCCTCTATCTTTGACCTAGATTCAAGGGTTTCTTTGGCCTTTTCCTGCTTGTCATTCCCTGCCTTTCTTTCCCTAACATTTCAGAGTGTATTCCTCTCCCCTAACCCTCTGTTTTATAGGGTTTTTTTTCTTTCCTCTTTTCTTTGTCTCCTTTCATTTCTCCCTGTTTCCCCCTTATTATTAAAATCTTTTGATATCTATGTCATTGCTACTGTATTTTTGTTCTGCCTGTCCATCTTCACTCTCATTCAGACTTCTTGTCTTGATCTGGGAATTGACATCTATGTGTTCATGTGGAGAGCTGGGACAGCTGTGTCTGGAGAGGAGACGCAGAAGAGCAATAGGATGTTGTTAGGATGATGAGAGAAACTCTGCAGGTTGCCAGCTGGGTTTACGTACAACCAATTTGAGCAATTGCATGAGACCCTGGGGGAATTATCATCATCCTTTACTGTATCATAGAGTCATAGAATATTTAGGGTTGGAAAGGACCTTAAGATCATCTAGTTCCAATCCCCCTGCCATGGGCAGGGACACCTCCCACTAAACCATATCACCCAAGGCTCTGTCCAACCTGCATATGCATATAACCTTATATGAGTTAATTTGTAGTACTTGCAGAGTATGTTGAGCCCTGGCATTACACATCAGCCACTCTCTCCACTGGAGCAGATAACCAGCAGTAATGGGCTGCTGGAGGAGATGGCAACTTTTAATTCCCTTGCCTGGTCTGCTGTGTTCTGTGCTGCTCTCAGCCCCGTGCTGGGATCTGCTTCTTCAGGTAACAGTATGGGATATGAGGTGAGACTAGCACCAGGCTTGCGGGGTTGAAGACCTGGCATGAAAGAGGTTGTGTCTGCCCTCAGGGCACTGGGGATTAGGGAGCATAACATAAAATTGAGCTGATGTTGAGCTTTTTGGATAAAGGGAGCCATGCGTATGCTTTCCTGCACATCACTAGGGCACCCTGTTTAACACAAGAATGAGAGAGCTGAAGGAGACCACCCTGCTGGGAAGCTGTGCTGTCCAACTATCTGTCTGTCCCATAGGATGCACTTCACAGTGCTTTCTCTTTGTTTTGCTCATAACTAACCTTGTTGTCATTACAGGCCATGGTATCTGCTCATGTGGCCGATGCATTTGCCAGGACGGGTGGTTTGGAAAGTTGTGCCAGCATTCAAGGAACTGCAACATGACAGAGGAGGAGAGCAGAAGTCTCTGCGAGTCAGCAGATGGCATATTATGCTCTGGGAAGGGTAAGAACTGGCAGCTGAGCCACCCCATGTCAGTGCCCCTCCAGCGGAAAACCATCAGGTTCTGGAAGACTAATGTGCTTGGCTGTGGGTTATCGTTTAGTAGCCCTTTCTTTGAAAGCCACATATTATTAAAAGTACGTTATATTTGGCTCCTTAATGCACTTACATCCATTTTGTCAAACGCCCACCACAGCCATACGTGTTTAATAATGTTGCTGTCCTATGCAATTTGTTAAAAAGTATATAATTTCCTGTATGTGTTTATCTGATGGTCTGCATTGAACAGCTGTATATTATAAACTGTTAGTGTTCCATCCAGATTGAAGGACAGAGGCATTGCCCACACTTCAGTGGGCAAGATGGCAAATGTACTATCTCAGGCAATGGTAAGTGGTGGAAAGTGTGCAACAGCAACTTTTGGTATACTTAATCACCTCCTTCCTCAGCAGAGCAACAAATGAAAGGGAGACATCTGCAGCCCCCACAACAGAATCCAACAAACCCTTATTTACTAAGTTTTTATACAGGTGCTTACTTTAGTTTGCTGGGGGTTTTTTGTTTGTTTGTTTGTTTTTCAGGTATGAAAAATTGCCCCAGGGAGGAATGAAATTCAGAAAATGTTGATAATTATCTGAAACTGTTCTCTGAGGTTTTTACCTTGCAGTCTTTCAGGCTAGAATACTGCATTACTGGAAAGAAGGCTTTTTAACTCCCCAGTAATGCAAACTGCCTATTTTTTGTAATATAATATGCCTGAAAGAGACAAAAAACGGGTGGTGGGCCTGGCTGGAGGCTAAAATGCCCTCACTCCAGACTGGATGTGCCATTTCCCTTGTTCATATGTCCCTTGCACGGACAGGGAAGAAGCCTACTAACTGGAAAAAAAACCAGTTAGGAGCCTTTTACATCAGGCAGATTTCCAGCTGTCTCTTTAGTAGCTCTTGTTTCAGTGCAAAGGAAATTTAAATGGGGTTTCCAGCGTGGCCTTCTTCTGTCTGTATTATCTCTTATCAGAATTCTCCCGCACCATACCTTTTTATTTTGGATTTTTCTCCCCCCAGTTGTTGCAATGTCATAGAAAATGAGGAAGTTTTATTGTCTCTGCATTGTTTCCATGCATGTGGCTATCTTTAATGTAGTATTTGTGTAAGAGGATGCTGAGTTACTGGAGAAATGGAGCTACTGGGGTTTACTGCAGAAGTTAACTATTCAGTCTTGGTGTCCCTGTGATATATTTTTTTTAATATAAACTGTGAAGGTAGGGAATATGCTCAGAATCAATAAAATGCACTATATAAGAATCTAAGTATAAATGTGAAAAATTATTTTGAAATTTAAAATATTTGTATTGTCTGTTACCTTTTTGTAAATATGGCTGAGAGCCTGTTGAATACTCTGAGAACAGCATGTATATCAAGGCTACAATTTACTTTGAGGCTTTGGAAGTATGTAATCTGGCAGGAATTTGCAGAGACATCCAGGGTATTTTCCCTCTGTTCTCTGTGCTACCCAGGGGTTGGTTTGGGATCTGGTCACTAATATAGACTGGAGCAGCCTGAAAGTTGCTCTAGGTTGTAACCTGCTGCAGGTAGGTAGTGCTTTTAAACCTGATCCATGAATGGTGGCTCAAAAGACCAGATTTTCTAAGGCAGTAGCACACTGTTGAGTAGCATTTACTTTCTGTGGGAATTGCAAACCTGACCCTAAATCCATATTCAGCAGCACTGGTGGGATTATTTAATTTTTTAAGTTTATTCAGCCCCCAAACACAGGTGAGCTTCTCATGTGATCGAAGGTTTCCTTGAGGGCAGTCAATACAATAAAGCTGTGTCATATTAGGTGCTATAGCAGCTTTGTTGTGGGAGCAGCCGGTCACATGTGAATGCTTGTCCCAGCAGAAAAATCCCTACATAAGACAACTTCAAGAAGCATGTAACCAGTGAACACTGAAGAGACTACTGTGTCCTGCCTCTTCTCTGACCAGGATGGGCTTTTGTTTTTAAGGGAAATCTATTCTTGATGCTTAAATATCTGGAAATCATACTTTAAAATGTTGTTTATAGCTAGCGTGACCAGCACTATCCAGAGGTCAAAATGACAAATTGTTCTGTTTCATTACATTGAGCAATACGTAACCATTACTGGTCAAATAAAAGGGAATTTTAAACCCAATAACTAATGGTGGTTATTCTGTCTCAGCTGGAAACCTATCCAAGATATGCAAATGCTAAAATGGATTGAGGGAGCTTGACTTTCTGTATGTAGGAGTTATGGACTCTAAGGAGTCCTGGTTTTCAGCAGGCAACTGCTGAACACTGTCAGAAAATTACGCTCTGCTAAGACAAGCAGAGTTGGGCATCCACATTGCTAGGGTGTTCTCAGAATCTTGGCTTGCTTACAATGCCACCTGTAGTAAAGGCTCTTCCCAAGGAAAACAGCAACACCCACCATGCTGCTGCCTCCCTGGCAGTAAATGTAGGGCTGCAGATGGCTACTGTAACAGTGCAGGATGTGGGCTAGGTAATGAGCCAAAGCCTATGCGAGAGGATCTGGCTGGGATCCCAGGGAACACCCTGCAACTCATTAGACTTGTTTTAATTAAACTGAGGAGCCTCCCAGAGCAGCATTCTCTGTTCAGGGAAAAGACCTGATACATTTATTCTCCCTTACAGATTTTACAGATTCTGATCTTCCTTGGTTGACTTGGTGTTAAATTTGCTGTATCTTCTGCAAAATAGTTTTAAACATCATGGGCATCCCTCAGTAGCAACATCAGTGCTTGCTTATGCAGAATCACTTCAGGTTTCGCACAATGTCATGCTCTTATTAACTGCTTTAATTTCACTGACTTTCTCATACTATTCATCATTTTCAGCTCTCAATAGCTTGTAGTTTGTATAAACAGAAACATTTAGTTTAAATTACTCTCAAATATGTCTTAGCGTATCTTTTATACAGCAACCATGCAGCATCTATGCTATGCCTCCTGCCTCTTTGTACAATGGCATTTTTCATCCTTGTGGGGAATGTCAGTATTTTCTGTGCCCATGGCTCAGTAAGCAATACTAAGAAGTCATGGAAAGAATAGATGCTTATCCAGATGCTCCCATCCGCAAATGTTCCAGTTGCTGACTCTTCCTGTATGTATTTACTTGTCACATATGTTACAAGTTAAAACAGCACTTCTCTAAAATTAGGCAATGAGTTAAATTTTGTCAGTAAACACTGAATTACTTTCATTTTAATTAAAAAAATAAAGTAGAAACTCTGCTGAAGCTATTGTAAAGGTTTAAAGAATTAAGTTTCAGTGATCAGGGACACTTCAGTATTTATGAGAAAAATCTATGGAATATTGGTGGTAGTGACAGATAATTTTTTTTTTACTTTTTTTTTTAAGTGTATTTTAATTTTTTCTATGGATTTTATTCAGAAGTCACTGAAAGAAATGGAAAGGTGGAAAAGCATCTAGCTCCACCCCCCTGCCATGAGCAGGGACACCTTCCACTAGACCGGGTTGCTTCAAGCACTTCCAACCCATCCTTGAACACTTCCAGGGATGGAGCATTCACAGTCTCCTTGGGCAACCCGTTCCAGTGCCTCACCACCCTCACAGTAAAGAACTTCTTCCTTATATCTAACCTGAACTTCTGTTCAAGTTTAAACCCATTGTCCCTTGTCCTATCACTACAGTCCCTGATGAATGTTCCCTCTCCAGCATCCCTATAGGCCCCCTTCAGATACCGGAAGGCTGCTATGTGGTCTCCATGCAGCCTTCTCTTCTCCTGGCTGAACAGCCCCAACTTTCTCAGCCTGTCTTCATACAGGAGGTGTTCCAGCCCCCTGATCATCCTTGTGGAACTCGTAGCCAAACTTCTTTCATATTTTCTTTAATATTGCATTAAAAACATCTGTGGTTTTGTACTGGAATCATTCTGAAAATTTTGCAAGAGGAATAGGATTTTCAACTGCATCTAACTCAATTATAAGCATGTTCTGTTAACAGTTGTCAGCTTCTTTGGTGACTTTTTTTAAATTCTACCTCTCATAATTTAAAACTATGTATATATTCACGTGTTCTCTTATTTGTTGTACTTTATTTGCTTTTTGATATTTTTGCATTGATTTGTGCTGTAACCAGTTCATTGGTCCACAGAAGGATTTTTTTGCTTAGCAGTTACTGTGTCACCTTAGCCTTTAAATGTCTGAACTCTGTACAGGGTCAGGCAGCTGAGGATGGGCTCTGTAAAAGCCAACTCTTCAGCTGGGTGTTGGAATCATCCAGGAGGAATTGCCATTTCCTACTGGTATTTTTAGTTGCATAAAAGCCTCTCTTGCAGCCTTCTGACTCTACAGGCTTCCTGAGACATGGTTGCCTTGGGGCAGCTGTCCCTTTCCACGATTCAGAGCCACGAACCTTCTCCTGAAGGCAGAGATGGCTCCGAGTCTCCCCTTAAAGGGGGGTTTCTGGTGTTTGGTGGGTTGCAGCACCACATGAAAGTCACCATGAAGTTCCCCCTTTGCCTGTGGGGGTGCAACCTGACCTCCCTGAGAGGGGAGTGCCAATGAGGGGCACTGGGGTACTCTGCAGAAACAAGCAAACTGCTGAGTCACCACTACGTGCACAAAGTCTTTCTGACCTAGAGCAAATTCCATGGGAGGTGCAGCAGTTTCTTTTGTGGTGATGAGGGTTTGAGGGGGTCTAAATGTGTTATTCTCAGGCACCCCTGTTTTTTTTGGCCTCACCCCTGACGATTTTTAGATGAGGAGGAGGGCCATTTTCTTCCTGGGTACGATTTTATTGCCTTCAGTAACAGTGGGTCAGGGACAATTTGAGCTTTTCTAGTAAAAAAAAAAAGAGCAGTTGCTGGGAAGAGTAGCCCTGATTGTGGGCCTCTGAAACCAAAGAAAAGCTTCAAAATGCAAGTCCTGATTAAATGAAATAGCAGAATCAAAGCATTAGCAGTAACATCCCACCATACTCTCATGTCAAAAGAATCCTTTTATTCAGAAAGCTTTTAGCTTGATGATGTTCTTTTATGCAATAGCTTCTTAGGCAGCAATTTTGTGCCTATGCGCACATGTGTGTGTGTGCACGTGTATGTCTGGGCATGTTATTTTCTACTCTGAAAATGCCGGTGCTCTTTGTGAGTAATGTTTTTTTTTTTGTGATTTCAGGTTCCTGCCACTGTGGAAAGTGCATTTGTTCGCCGCAGGAATGGTACATTTCGGGTGATTTCTGTGAATGCGATGACAGAGACTGTGACAAACACGATGGTCTCATTTGCACAGGTGCGGTACAGGCTAACACTTAATTGCTTCAGGAAACAAACTGTGTTGATGGGGATTATATTAAACAAAGCCTGGCTTCTTCTTCCTCCACTGACGGAGGAAGTGCATTTGTTGGTTGTTCAAACCTGCTATAGTTGTTTCTTTGTGCAATGTGATAATCAACTTAAGGTTTCAAAACACCAGTTGAAAGCCGAGGATGAATTTAAATAAGCAAGCCAGCTATGAAATCCACCAAGACTTTTCACTGTAATAGACTACAATTTACTGCTTTTTGGCAAAGGACGTGCAGTGTGGACAGGACATTTTGATCATGAGATTTCTTTAGCTTTTGTTCTCTTACTGGATTTTCTATGTACATACTGCTTTTAAGTCATAGACAAAATTCACTTGTCTGATGATCTTGGTAGGTGAGTGGCATAGCTGTGTGGGTTAACAGAGCTTCTTGGCAATCAGACAGTTCTCAGCAGGTGGCTGAAATACCTGTCAGTTTTTCTTATGACATGATGGCAAGTGATTAAAGCAGCTTCACCTTAATATTGTCTGAGAGTTCAGGTGGCAGATGTGGATAGAAATGGGTAGGCTGCCACCAAATCTAGTGACAAGAAGGAACACGGGAATTGTAAATTAACTCACTGGCTGCTTCCTGTTACAAAGCTTAATTTCAGAAATCTTTGCTGAGCAATTATTAGATGTGGAGGAAATCTGCAAGCCAATTAGAGTGAAAGTGGGAGGGCTGACACTCATAAATTGTCTCACAGCTACTCCTATTAGCAAGGGTCCTTTTCTGGGGGTTAGTACCCAGAATAGAGGCAAGGAGTCTTCAGCTTCAGCAGCTCTTCATAAATTCTCATAAAGTCAGTGGGAAGACTTGTCACATTGGAAACCCATGCTGTAGAAGTCTCCAGCTAAGCATCCAGGAGTCATGAGAAATATTTGAATAAAACGAAAGTAACCTTTCCCCACTGCAAACTAGGGCCAACGCATTTTTCAGCTAATAGAGGGTTTGAGATATTATTTCTTTTTATAGCACTTCTGCGAATTTAGGTTTAAAGTTTTTCATTTTCAAAGTGATGTTTTTTTTTGCTATTCTGTTTGTAACTTTTTTATGTCCTTTTCTTAGTTAAAAGTAATCTTGGTTTTCCTTGTACCTGAAGGTACAGTATGGATACTGAGCCTCAACAGCGAGGTACAACTAGAGGTGGCATAATTGAAACCTTTTCAATTCTGCTAATGGGATTATTGAGAGAATGCTGTTAATGCTTTGTAAGTATAGGTTTGGGCTGGCTTCTTAATGCAATGGTACAGTAATTGCCTCTTTCAAAAAAAAAAAACCCCAAAACATGGGGGGGGAAACCATAAAGGAACAATGCAGACTTTAGCATGGCTTTTTAGTTCCCATAAAACACATTTTAATGTAGTACATTTCAATTATGATAATTGCCCTTTATTCATTCTGTTCTAGGCAATGGTGTTTGTAGCTGTGGAAACTGTGAGTGCTGGGAAGGATGGAATGGAAATGCTTGTGAAATCTGGCTGGGAAGAGAATACCCTTAACAAAGCCCATCAAAGACTAAGGTTTTTTGTTTGTTTTTCTTTAGGCTGCTAGAACATTTCATTTCAGAAGTATTCAGTATGTGGGTGTGCGTGCATGGACACGTACATGGGTGTAAAAGCTTTAGAACACTCATCTGAGGGCCTGCTCCATAAAGGAATGCATACAGAACTAAAAGAAAAAAAATTAACTGCCTTGGGAGCTGGAAAGTCCAAGCTCTAAAATGTGAAGTCATAAAATACTATAAAGGCCCCGTGGATCTTTCCAGAGTATTCTGGTAAATTCATTGAGACCAAGATTACACCCATAATTCCTATTTCTTGATCAACCTTTGGAAAAGGTGCAAGAAAGCCTTTTTTACTAAACATTATTTACTTCGTTGTCACCTCTCTGTATCAGTATGCAACAACAGTACTCCTGTAGAAGCGCAGCACTAGTTGAATATTTGTCAAATGATTAATTTGATTCATTTTGTGGTGTTTGACAAATACATTGTTTGTCCCTTTTTTATTTTCCAACAACAGTTTCTGAGTACATACCAGCTCATAAATTGAGAGAAGCTGTAAAGAAGATTATGCAAATATTAGTGATTTTTTTATTTGGTCAAAAAATTGTACTTTTTTTGACCAAATTGAACTGAGGTCCAATTACATGACAGCCATAGACTGAAGACCCAAGGTGTTGGAACAGACCCTTGTCTGTAAGAGAACTTCTTAGTTTCTACGGTTAATGTGTCAATGAGTTGATTATCTAGTCTACATATTACAATACTTTCAAATACATAACCTATAGGAGTATAAGGAACAAAAGTAATGAAGATATAAACATGTGATTACCTATTCTGAATATGTATCCTGCAACTCATATGTACTCTTATCATATTGTTCTATGTATGTACAGTTGCCTCTTAAAAGTAAAGCAAGTGAAAATTTGTTATACCAATAATTTTTAGGATGACAATTCTGTACATTATTAGAAATCACATTTTGGAACAGATTGCACTGTCCCACATGGTATTCATTGAATCTAACTGATTTTATAGAAACAGGGAGCCTGAAGGTCAACTGACTTAAAAAATCAGCTCTGCTTTCAGTAGGTAGGTTTCAGCCAAAGATGTTCCAACAATAGCAACAAAGTAATTAGAGTTTTAATGCAGTAAATACAAACAAAGCAGTGGTATGAACAAAAATTTTATTTTTATTATTTTCCAATGGTGAAATGCTGCTCAGTGTGAAATTCACATTGAGTTATGAACGATGCACAACTATTGGGACTTCCCTAACTTATTTACATATGAGTCTCTTTTTTTTTTTTTTTTTTTTTTTTTACATGTAGATTTGGCAGCCCTTGAATTCTTTAGAGCAAAAAAAGATACAGACATTTTAGGTTCAGAAGTGCTTACATTTTGTGAAACCATGATTGAGCGAGAAATTGTTTAAATGGCTGGACAATATTTCTTTTTAATACCAAACTGTAACATTGTGTTCTAGGTGCCAAGGTCCTGATTTTTGAAGAGGTACATGACTCAGCAATAAGGGAACTATATATCAACAAAAAAAAAAGGAATTTCCATAATTAGCCTAGAAATTACATTTCTTTTAAAAAGGACAATTTTGAAATAGGAAAATACAATGATACAGGACATGTAATAGGATGCAAAAATTTTAAATGAACTTATTTTATTATTCCCCCTTCCCATGTAGTTTCCCCCTTTTTACCCATTTTTTTAACTTTACTTGGATTCCTTCTTTTTAAAGTTTAAGTTTATGAAGCACATATTCTCAGGGAGTATACTCACCAAACATCAATGCATAACTTCTAGAAAAGCTATGCAGATAACTAATGAGACGTACATCCCAAAGCTGTTAGCTGCTCTCTTCTTAAGTTATCAAATTATCAGGCAGAGTTCTAAAATGTATTGATACAGTATAAAGAACCTTCAAAGTCAAATTCATCTTGAAATTATAGAGCTTAAGAGGAATACTTTCCTAGATTTTAACATGTATGCATTTAGTCAACCCTGGTGTCTGGAGAGCACAGATTGTTGGTTTTATTTATATTTATGTATACTGCTGACCTTAATCATCTCATAATCAGTGTTTTTTTCACATATACATTCATCTGCTGAATCAGAGTATAAATAATGAAAGATACAAAGTTTTCTTTGATTTCCTTCCATTTGTATTTAGTATTGTAATAAGAAAATAGCAGATAATCAAAAATCTCTCTAGGTTCAGTAGATGCCTTTTAATGGTTTCATGGCATGGTAAGCAGATTTATATATCCCATAGATCAGCCATAGTATTTCAGGCATTCATATGCATAAGAACAATTCTTTAGAGGGTTGCAATGTCATATTCGATGCATTTTACTTTGTATTTTGCTTTAATTTTAAATTTATATACTTAAAGAGCATAAGATGATTCTGATTTCTAGTTAGATTTATTTTGTTTTATTTTTTTTAACCCAATCAACTCCAGTATTTTGGCTACTGGATGGATTATGTAGCCACAGCATTTCAGAAAATGTTAACCAACTCATTTGTTAAGGTACATATACAAAAAATAGTAGAATATTCTAAGACAGCTACTGTCAGTGGTTTGTTAAAATGTAAATTAGCAAACAAAATGGTGCTATCGCTATAAACCTTGAAGTAGTAACTAAGACTACTAAAAATATAATGTATGCATAAATTCCTTTCCAATTTTTATTCTGTTTCTTATAACGTTGCTTGAACATTCCCCTCACTCTTCATGCTAAGGTAACTGGTGATGTAACTCCCAGCAGATCTGTTTTGTGGCTCATTTCCTTGCTAAAAAATGAGATCAGAAGGAACAGGATTATTCCGCATATGTGAAAATAATAGCTGTATTAATAAATTGTGATTTTGCACCTCATTCCCTGTGATGGGAATTCCAGATACATAAACTGTAAAAGCAAGAAGAGGTATAAGGGATTGGAACATACTGCTTGATTCTTCATACCCAGTGACTGTAAAAAATTGCTTTTAGGCCTGTGGCAAAAGGCAAAATATGACAAAACCAAATTGGATGTCTTTTGTACTGGCTGGATCTATAAACCTTACAAACAAAAGACACTATACTCTTTCTTATTCTGAGAGAAAGAGCACAATCCAGAAGTGTGCCAAATGCTTTTACAATCAACTTGCAGTATTATGCCTACTGTATATAATATATCTATAATATCACCTATAAACCAGCTGTGTACTTATTTCCTTCTATAAATTATTGACCTACTTGTGACCCTTTTTTCACTTTGTAGCTAAATGACACTGGCATGAAGAAAGCTAAGTTGAATATTTCTGTGACTAAGTAACAGAAGAAAAATTTTATTACATCTTTAAAAATAAGTCATGGCATTTGCATTAGTCATCACAAAACCCCCTTGTTATTAGAGATTTTAAAAGCATTGCAGAGAATAGGAGTTTATCTAGGGGGCTCTTAAAAGAAAGATAATCTCCTTGCTTAGTCTAATTTTACTTGCATTCCCATTTGAATAGAGCTGAATAATTTCTTCTTTATACCAATAAATAGATGGATCAGCAAGACAGATGCACTTTTAATGCATGGACCAAACTGCCTGCTTTCATACCTCACTGCTTACACTGCTTTTCAACCACGATCGAAAGGTTCCCAATATATATAGAAAAAGTCAGAGTTCTTAGTGTTGTTTCAGGTATATACCACTGTCAAACTGAACTGCTTTATATTCTGAGGGGAGGTGTGTGTGTGGAGGGTGTTAAGAAACAACCTGACTCTACACAAGTTAAATTTATGAAAACTACAGTATATTAAAAAATTATTTTAGAGTGACTAAACCCCCCAGTAAATTAAGCAAAAGTGGTGTTATGTGAACTAAAAAGCACTTAAAAGCTACAGACACCTTTCCAGAGGCCCTATCATATGAACAATCTCATAAGGATTCTTGTGTATTTATAAAATCTTTGAAGTGCAACAAACCCGTGCTTTGTTGAAGTAGTTCCTATCTGCTTAAAACTGGATGTCTAAAACTGTGCACGTGTGACTGACTTTGCCAAATAGAACTGTAGCGGAAATACAGGTTAAGAAAATAGGAAAGACAGCATGAATAGGTGCAGTGTTAACATATGAAATGGTAAGATGAGGTTGGATTGCTGTGCAAACAGTCTTTCAGAGGTTAGATAAAACCTAGATGAACAAAATACAAAGCAAGCATGCAAAAGATCTGGAACGCTGCAGATTCACAGACAGCTGGACATGTTAAGTACAAAAACCCCAGTCTGTAAATACAAATTGATTCCATCAGGTTTACTATACAGTACTTTAGTAGTAACAGACAGTTGAAAACGGCTTTCACTTAACAGCAAAATTAATTTTAGAGGGAAGAAAATGGTGAAGTCTCATCCTGGAGAACAGCAAGAGAGGTATTATATTAAGGAGCTAAAATTTTCTTTGGCATGGTAAAAGGGGAGAACTGAGTTTGCCAACCTATTTACATGAAGTTTCACCATCCTGTGGCCAGTGCAATGATGTTTTGCACGCTCTACTTCTTACATAAACTTTTTTATTGTTTTCTGGTATGCCTTCATATAAATGTTTTATTCATCACGTTGAATCTGTGTATACAACAAATAAGAATAAACACAAATTGTACAATGCAGACAAACTCTTTGCATATATGTATGTAAATTTTGTAATACTGACCAACAGACCTTTGACAGACACAACCTACTACATGCAGTTCATCTTTGCCATCTTCCCATGCAACATATGAAACGAGACAAAATTAAAGGGAGGAAACAAAGCACAAAGACCCCTTTGCCATGTTTAAACAGACTGTAGAGAAAATATTTTTAGGACATCTATTCAGTGGATTAAACTCACATATGGATTTAGCCCATAGAAACAAAAATGGAAAATGAGAACAAAATGCTTTATTATTTCCAGTATGTACTAACTGCTTACAAAAATTAAATCGTGCCTTAATTATAGCCTCCCAAGCTGATTTGCAGATCATAATGACTCAGGATCAGAAGTTTAATGTTGAAAACAATTCTTATGTAGCATCAGGCCATGAACCAGAACCTCCTTGCATGGCTCAGCCAGATCTCCAACCCTGCTCTTCCCAAGCTTTTACACTGGGAGAGTGGAAAGACAGCTGGATGGGACATGAACACATGTATTCCCTCCTTGTGAACTCTTACACGATTCAGGTAAGAGGGGAAGGAGTGTAGCCTTCAGATGAATTATCTTATTCAAAATATTGTGGGAAAGCCTGGGGCCTCATCACGGACCCAGCAGACAGTACAGCATCAAGACTGCTGCCTCCCATTGGTCCTCCAGATGCAGAGCAAGCTCCCAGCTCACCATGTAGGTTGCTTTGGTTTGGTTTGGTTTTGTTTTCTCAGGGATGGCGCACAAATCCCACTGGACCAGGTGGGATGAGAAGAGTGCACCAAAGTTTATAATAAAGTGTTGTTTTCCCCAAGCACGCATATTTAGTGCTAGCAGGCAAGGGCACAGTCTAAGTCGAAGTTTCTTTGCATTTTTATCACAGTATTAGAGTAGGTGTGTATTTTATTTTTTTTTATCTACATGGATAGTGGGTTTCATGCTTAACTCATTCCCTCCCTAGAAAGACCCGACATCAAGTGTTAGCTTGCTGTTCTCATAGTACATATATAAACAAGGAAGTCTGGCCTACAAAAAAAAATAATCTGTATTATAGCAGCTTTACAGTAGCCTCCTAGAAGAGTGCACTAAATGTTGCTTATAAAAACAGAACACATTTGAAAACTAGCATGAAGACTTCATTCAGACTGAATCAGTTCAGCTGAGCAGAGAGGGAGTTTGAAATAACCTGCAGTCTCTGCTAGGGACTTCAGCACAAAGATGTGATAAAACAAACTACCAGAAATATAGTGCTAAAAAAAGAATGCGTGATTTCCATTTTTTTTTTTTTTGTCTTTAAATATCAAGGTAACAGCAAGAGGCCAAGAGAGCATTGTCACACAATTTTCCAGACTGAGGTACAGTTTGGTCCTTGTTGCCCTCTCTGAGAAACAAATACCTTCCTAAGCATACAGAGAGTACCCATATTTTTAATCTTCTGAAAGCTTGTGACTAAGTGTGTAACACTTCAGTGGCATCTCTGTGGTATTCTATAAATCTCCCTCCCTCTTCAACATTGGTTTAATAGTTCGCAAATGGCAAACTCAAAGGGTTGATGTTGTTTCTGGTAATATGATCCAAGGCTTCAATTTTATAATGTTTTTGATTTCTTCTAGTTTCATGTAGGAGAAAGTACAGTATACAGAGATCAAGGCAAGGCACCTTCAATCTAGCAATTTGGTGGGCGTATTGTCCTAGGAAGCTGGGTGGAGGTATGTACTGGGATATCAGTGAGATACATAGGACCGGACTTTGCATGCTTAGCTAAAAAGAAAAACAAAGGTTTGTAATATGTCCAGTTTTAAAACTTTTTTTTTTTTTAAAACACCAGAAATATTAAACTATAATTTGTAACTACCCTTTGCATTGGTGCTGCAAAAAAGAACACGACGACACCCTTGCCCATGCTTTGCTAAGTAGGAGTGGGATTCAGCCAAAAATAACAATGGCATTAAGTTCAGTTCCTTAAAAACAGGAAAGGATTATATTCGAAATGGATTTAGGTAGCACAATTCTGGTTAGTCTTACTTAACTTTTTATCTTTTTTTTTTTAATTGGTAGTGGTTATTTTTCAAACAATGAAGATTTAGTAGATGAAAAATGAGCCTTAATTCAGGCCTACAAGGCCTACAAAATTCTTTGGACCCACTTTCCCAAAAATGAGTGGGTCTTGCTCGCTGGGCAAGGCAAATGTTACCATTACCAGTAAGCCTGTGATATGTATAAAACACACACACAAAAAGAAACTAAAGGGGGATGCCAAACACTTGTTTCAGAAAACTTCCTGTTGGTTGTGTTTGACGCTCTTCCCTCCACTATAATGCCAACCTCAGAAGCACGGTATCTGCTCTAAAGAGTATTCGCATTTAATCAATATTGTAAGCCAGAGACAACAATCCTATTCTTTATAGATATAATTTGGAATAATAGATTTTTGAAGGCTTCCTGATTCCCTGATTGCTTTCAAAACTCAGCCACCGGCAACACTTAAGTTATAGAGAAACACAATCCCTGCAAAAGGTCACAGACAGTGGAGCGAGCAGCCTTATAAAAAAGGGAAGAAGAGAAATCCATAATAGCACAGGTTTACAGCATCTAACTAGAAATTACTTAATTATTTGTGTGCTACAAAATAGAACTTAAACACATGGATTTTGCTGAAACTGGACTCAAAAAGGGATTATGGGCAATTGTCAGCAGGCAAGGTATCAAGTGTACTTGTGAAGTATGTCATTCACATGAAGTGTCACAGTCACAGAAAAGATATTAAAAAGGCATTCCAATATCTGGTAGGGCATTCCATGGTCTGAGTTTAGCTGGTTCATCCAGGTGTCTTCTTGTTGTGGGTGGAGCTACATGTTGAGATTTATCCACTTGCAACAACTCAGTTCAGAAACAGCAAAGGGCAAGTCTGTGACTTGCCGCAAGCTGATCCACAGACACTGCAGCGGGGAAGTCTGGCGAGGATAAATGGCTCAACTGTACTCAGGACTCAGTAAGTCACAACACCTGTGAGGATCTGGCTATGTCGTCTTACTCTTGTTAACTGGTTTGCCACCATTCATTATTGCAGATGCACTTGTGCTTTTACTTGGAGTTACCCCAGCCTTTGGCACTGTTTCTCCAATATCATGCAAAGATGGTTCTCGATACATGGCAACTGAGGGGAGAAAAGAGAAAACAAGAGATATTCGTAAGAATATATCTCATTTAAGAGCTCATCTCAAATAGGATTATTTTTCTGCAACAACTGATGTTGCAATATAATCTATGTTCCTCTCACAAGCATGAGGGAAACTACTTCGACAGTCACTTGTTTGCATAGCTGATAGCTTTGTCTGACCCTCCAAATTTCTCACTTCCTCTGTATCTGACTTACTTAAAAAAAACCAGTAGGAAACTGCATACTTGCTTGTTTAATAGAAACTATAGAAGCCTTGGGAATGAAAAACTACTGTCTTTGCATGAGGCAGACACACAGAAATGTGCATATATATATATACACATATGTACATACATGTGTGCGTGTGTGTATATATATATATATATATCCAGACCTTAAGTAAACACTCTGGAAGTTTTTAGAAGTAAAATATGGTAAGACAGATGGTGTTTAACAAATGGATCATATGATACAGTTGTTTAGACTAACGTGTTCTTTTTTAGTCCTGCATGCAAGACTAAGCTTGGGTCCAGTTCTACAAAGTTATTTGTACACCTGTCTCTCAAATCTGAGCACCTTGGTCATGATCTCTTCAGGTGTGTACTGAAGAAATGGGCAGAGTACAAAACTGCAGAGTACACAGGAAATTTGAGATTTTTATTCCTCTTTTCCAAAACCATAGGCAGTAGCCACTGATCTCCACTGAATGTAGAAGCACGGAAAACTCCAAATTAAACTGTTAACTGAATTCTTAGAGAAATTACAAGTTTGCCGCTGGGCTTCAGTCCCTATCTAACCTCTTCAAATCCTTTGAGGAAAATACATGTTTTCAATTACACAGTTCCAGCATTACGCTGCCTTAATGATTAATGCTCTTGGATAATTCAATTTCATTTTCCATGTCACTGTATCAGGTAATATTCCCACGTATAACTAACTTCAGTAGCACTTATTTATATTAGAGCAACATTAAAAGAGATGTCAAAGCAGTCAAAGGAATTAATCATCACAATGTGATTTCAGGACTGGCTGTGTGCTGCCATAGAGAGCACAATCCCTTCATCTCTTGGCTAATTAGAGTAAGAGGCTGGAGCATCAAAGTTCTGACCTTGATCTTCAGTGGTGTGAAGCTTCCTAATAAATATGAAGGGCCCCATAGCATCGTTAACTAATCAAACACTTGTTCTAATATTTCCAATGACATCATCTAACTCCTTCCATGGCTTCTGAAATTCTGAAATTAAATGTCTTCTTTAGAGCACATAACGCTGGTTATGTTCTATGTTTTCAGAGTGCACCCATTACTATGTTTAGGACACTTCGCTGATTTAATTAAAGAGCTTGATGAAATAACATTGTAACCTATGAAAATAGGAAGTCAACATGAGCTGGAACTATAAAGTAAGAAATTATATAGCACAACTGTCATACCTGATGACTCTCACGGGCAATATAAAGCAAGTTATCCCTAAGTAAGTCCTGTCTAAGCTATTTTGATAAAGCATGAACATCCAAACATAAATGAAAAAAAGTAACTTCTTTCCTAATCTATAGGAATCGATTTTGCTTTTAAAAATGCAAATGGCTTTCCATCCATACCAGTCTTATTATTTAATATAAAGACATGGAGATACAAAGTGTCAATATTGTTGAGAGCTCAAGATGAGGAAAGCATGAAGGCATCCACCTGAGTTCAAGTAGGAAGTTAAAACACAGAATTATTCAGATTCATTCCTTATGATGAAACTCTAAAATATTTAACAAACTAATCCCTTAATAAAAAAAAATAAGTTAAAATATTAAAAGAAATAGGACTGCTAAGTAAAACATTACTCAAGTACATGTTTTCAGATGGTTAAGTAAGGAGATAACTTTCTGAGGTTATGTTTAGCAGTAATATCAATGAAATTTGGAGTGCCATCAGGGTAAGAAGCAAAAAACAGTGTATGTTTATAAAGGCCTGCAGAATACATAGGATAACCCAAACGTACCAAGATATAAATGGATGTATTTTTCAGAGAACATGTGACATCATTTTAATGTGTAAGGTTAGTATGACTTTTATTCACTTCTGTCTTGGTTTAAAGGCCAACTAACACAAGTTACGTGCATTACATCAACTGGCTAAGCAATACAGAATGATTTATTTTATGAAGAGACCTTTCTGGTTTGTATTAGAAAATTTTTACTTTGAAATGCTGACATTTCATCCATTTCCTTTATAACTCCCAATTATTCTACAATATCCATTATTTCATTCTGCCTAATGAAAGGACTATTTTCTCACTGCAAGACTCACAACAGCTTTTGTCCCTACCAAGAGAATAATGCACTTCTACAGAACATTTCTTTCCTTGAAAAATGATCTCTTAATCTCCAGAAAAAAAAATGCTTTTACATATGCCCTTTCTAGCATCACTATGCTGAAGCATAAACTCTTTCCATGAATTCTGGGGACTGTCATTTGGAATGGTCCCTGTGCAGGGCATGCACATTCACAAAGGTTATTTTAGAAACCATTCCCTCTTCTTCTTGTGAGATTTATTCGAGGATCTGCCAGTGATGGACTGAGCCTCACCTTCCAATGGCTTGGGTAGAAAATGAGCTGCTGGTTTTGTTTTCTTCACTCTGTTTCCTTTCATGACCTGCCCTTCTTTGTTCAGCCCCAAGAACCAGGCCCTCCCGGACTCCTGTTGTCTGTAGAGCATGGATGAGTAGATTACATAATAATTTTCAAAAACAGACTCCTTGAATTTGCACTCTGGTGTAAAAAGTTCCTGTGGGAGGAAAAGTAAATGTTAAATGTTATCTCTAATGCGCGACTTCTGATTTGTTAACTTAAAAACACCTCTTCATAATTTTAATATACGACATCATAAGGGTCTGCTATGAGACCACGAGATCTGCCTTCCTCTAGAAGACCCTCAGGTGAAGTTATGTCACCTCCCATGGATGCCTCTTTTTCCATCTGTGCAACAGGGATGGTATATTTTCAAAGTAGAAAGGAAGCAACAGAGGCATAAAAACACTGTTTAAAATACAGGCATAACTATTACTGTGGTTAATTACTGATAGGATATACTTGTAAAAATTAAGAAAGTCTATGCTAAAATAGCATTATTGAGAAAACAGTTGTTCCATTTTTTCATACTAAATGCAACAACAAATTGTTCCATTTTTTCATACTAAATGCAACTAAAATGTTCCATTTTTTCATACTAAATGCAACTCTATGGCTTATAACAACTCTATGGCTTATAACAACTAAAAAAATGCTGCTACCAGCATATTAAAACAAATATGATTTCCTAGAGTCCCCATGGCCTGAAACACCACAGGAGAACACTATTTTGATGTACAAATTTCTGCACAAAGAAAAATATTCCTACTGACACTATCAGCATTTGTCCCAAAACTGGAATGCTTTTCAGATGCCACCTTTAGTAACAGAACAGTAACCTTTACCAAGGTTAACATAAGAACAAACTTCTGTAGCCCAGTAGCTATATAATAATTCAAATATATTTTTAATAACACAAATAACTAACAAAATGAATGGCATGGACATATATTGAGACAGAGTTTACCAAGATCCTTTGAAAAAAAAACAGCAAGTTAATAAGCAAATAAAATAACATTTCAAGTATCATGAGAAAATAGGATTCTACTTGAATGTGGTTTTCTGTATTTGGACACAGCTGCTGAAACCTGTGGAAGATGTAAGATATAAAAGGGGAGGTAGATGTGGAAAAGTGGAAGGTAGCTTAGTAAGTCTTCAGAGCACAAATCCTGCTTCCTCTTTTTTATATTCCTTTGTTATCTTTCCCAAGAAGTAAAAATCTGGAAATGTCATATATTTTCACTTCTCCATTCACAGTATATTTTTTCCCCCATTTCTTTTTGATCCTGGCCCCACGCAGTACTGAGTTAACGCACAGCATGTAACATCTTTTCAGGGTCTCTATGCCATCTCCAGCTGCCTATATATTGTAAGAATTGTAAGAATCTCAGCTGTTTCTCTCACAAATTTCCTTTCTGGAAATGAAAGTAAGTTCTTAAAGACACAGTTTGCCAGAAAGCACAGATGAAGTAGTTTTCTGAGTCTGCACCAAATGTCACAGTGGACAACCAAGTTCTCCTAATGTTACCTGGTACACAGTATTTGTATTGCCATGGCTTGAGTTTCTAGCTGTAAGCAAAGCTGTCTTGATGGACACTGGGCATACTATTAGCTTTCTCAACTATGGAACATAATATAACCTCAAATAAAAAGCATTCGTGTATTTTATCCAACAACAGACTGCAAGCAGTAACCGCAGCACCTGGGAAATAGTTTGCTTTGTCTGTGTACACTTGTGGTACTATATGCACAAATGAGTGTCTATAGTTCACACTCTTTTACAGGATGCAAAAAATATTCTCTGATGTGTGCAATCTTTGCACTACAACTTCTTTACCACCTATGTGCACAACTGTATATATGTACATATGCAGAAATGCGAATACAGTCTGTATGAGAGGCACCGAAAACTAATGTCAGGAAATACCTTAACTGCACCTCTCCTTTGCCACAGGGCTTTTTCTCTCTCTGTTTCAAGACTTTAAGACATCTGTTGTTTGTGTTACTCTCCTTTCTCCTCCACTGATTTCAAATTACAGCAGGGCTCAAGGAGACTCAAAATAAAACCAGAAGGCAGGGTGGCAAGCTAGAGGGAATGCCTGTTAAAGCCTAGCACAAGCATTTGCATGCGAGTCATGCTCCTCCACTGTCGAAACAGCAGATGCTAATCAGGAAATGCCTACACAGCTCTCCTTATTACCTGCTCCACCGCAAGTGCTACCCCCTGTGTTCCCCACTAAGTTTTACTTCCTTGTAAACCTCAATTACCATAAACACTACTTCTTAGCCAATCCTCACTTTTTTTGCTATAAACAAAAGCTGTTTGTCGTTCCATGCTCTTCTGTACTAGGCTCTGTAAAGACTATTTGTGTGTTTTCCCAAGCAATATCCATTAGGATACTGAAACAAGATTCCTTTAAATCATATCCCTCCTCTGAATAAATGAAACCTGGCTTTCCTCTCTCATTCCTTGGCACGTACAGTAGTGTTTCTGACAGTGCACAGCAGATGAAGCAGTAGGAATTTATCTACCAAGTAAAAAAACCACCTAGGTATTTAATTCACCAAGTAAAAAAAAAAAAAAGGATTATGTCAACACAATTGGCTACTTCTGGGTGCAGACTGATAAATTGGACAAACCAGCATCGTTCCTTTTTCTTAGTTACCAAAAGCATAGTAATAGTTTGCTAATGGTCTTTTTTGGCATACAAGGAAGAGCCATACCTGAACACTGTATTCTGCCTAAAAGTACTGCAGCTATCCTACTCCACGTGTCTGGGTAGTGCAACAGCTTTGGACAGGGTTTGCATTCATCCAGTATATTAGGATGCAATCCTGCCTGGGATAAACACTCAGCCCAAAAGTCACTTTAATACATGTTACTTTAAAGCAAGCTAATAGTTCTACCAAGCTGGGGAGTACTCATGAGTGAAAACTCAGAACTTGACACTGATTATGCTGAATGGGAGGACCAGTTCCTCGGAGGAAAGAATTACACAGAAGGGGACTTCTGAAATGGGCACCTTCCCCGGGACTCAGGTGGAAACTGAATATATCTAAGTTAAGAGTGATGTTTAAAGCCTTGTCTCGGACACCATCTCAGCTGTCTGAAAAGCTGTAAGGACCTACATTTCTCCAGTAAAGCAGGAGACCTAAGATGCTGTTTCTGCATGCAACTAGGACAAAACTAGATCTGTATACTTAAGACTCAACCCAGTAAGAACTCTCAGAAAATGTGCTAACAACACTGACTTGAAAAAAAGTCATTCACAGATGACTTTATTCAAATCCAATGCTGGAGGAAAAGGCAGTACAACGGCATTTTACAAGAGAAACTCAATGGTGAGAGCACGCCCCTAGGCTACCTGCCTATCTGTATCCAACCTGAAGGAATCCAAATCTGCATCTGGTCGATATAAATCATTTCCCCTGCAAGAATGACTTTTGGTGTTTGAAGTTTTCATTCACTTCCTAGTTCAGGACATTTTGCTTTAGAAAGTGAATGAATAATTTGCAAAACCAGACATGATTTGCAAACAAGAACTTATGCTCAGGATTTCTCTTCCAAGGTCAGTGCCCGGATTTAATCTGTAGTCTTCTATAAAAGGTGGTTTTCTCCTGTCAAAACAACATTTGAAAAATAAACTATATACCAGCTGCCAATTTCCAGAACCCGAGGAGTGGGGTTTGGCTGTCAGCTTCAATCTGACATAGCTTCCTAGGTCCTAGAGAAGTGAAGGATACACTAAATTGCACCTTGCTGAGAGGAATTTTTACTCGGATAGTTTTGCCAGCTTCCCGTCAAGCTTTTGCTTGATGTGAAGCCTATTTGGAGATGTTTTAATTCTCCTAGTTGCTGTAGCATTAATAAATATCACAACACATGGGTTGCAGGTTCAGACTCTCAGAATCTAAAAGTTCTGTCACTGGAGTGTTCTTAGTTTTGGAGTTCCCACCAGTGCTGCTAAAACTCAGCACTGTATTATACCATAATAGTGGAGCTTTAGCTCATGGAGTCACGTGGTGCTGTCAGAATCTGCTTCCATTTGAGAACAAAATGCAAATTAAATAAAGAAAAAAGCCATTATCCACATTGCAGACTTAGGAATGCCTGAATGAAGGAGCTCAGGTTACCTGTGCTGTCAACATGGAGATGCAAGGATTGTTGGAAAGCAATTTAGATGACAGCTCACGTGAATTCCCTGCCAAGTAGTGTCTTTTTGTCAATTAGAGGCTGAAGTCTGACATGATAAAGTTTGATCTCCATCCTAATCAATAGTACGGCACTATAGCAAATGGCTATAGTTTAAAATGCAAGTACATCAAACTTTTGTGTTCCACAAGTCATTAAGTAAACTAAGATATTTGAATGAGTTATCTGTAACTTCCAATTGCTGGTCTACCACAATTTAGCCTGTTCAGTTTTGCTAGCTTTAATGAAGTGCAAATATCCATTTGTAGCCACGGTCCTTTTCTTAACAACAATCCCCACAAATCGTAGAGTTTTTCTACAACAGCTCTTAGAAAGAAGAAATAATTATGCAGCTATGGACAAGATGCCTATGCTGCGGACCAGATGTGAGAAGTAAAAAACTAGTGTGACAACACTGCTAGCCATGGTTAAAAATTTAAATAGATATTGTTTAAAACTACATAAAACCCTGTGATTTTAAACTATACCTCTGTTCAGTAAGTCAATCAATATTTAACTGTGGAAGCTGAACAAAAAGAAAATTTCCACTGCACACCATGAGGGACAGTGTAAGACCCCAGCTTTACCATGGTCATCAAAACCGGTAGTTCCAAGGACAAGAGCTTCCACAAAAGTTTCCTGCTTTCTACTTCTGGACTTTCAAGCCTCTTTTGATTTGTGTTTTCTGAAATATAGGAAAGGAGAGTATCATTCTAGTTGCAGCTCACAGAACTGACATAGTCAGCAGTCAGCCTCTTGAATGTAGCCAGCAGCAAATAAGGAGGATTCCCTAGGAGATGGGCACAGTGGGGCTTGCTCATCACACCAGGCAGCACAAAGGCAGCTGCAGCCTGAACTAGCTACAGCTTCTCCTTGGTGCCAAGGAGAAAACACAACTGCAAGACAAACTCAGAGGCTGCCAGTTGAGGAATAGCCAGTCTAATCAAGCACTGGAGAAACCACTG